TATATAAAATACAATTCTCTTATTTATTGGATTGGTCTTCAATCTTATTATTTTTACTTAAATTGTGCAACTGCAATGTAAAAGGTTTGCTAGATAGTTTCTTCCTACAAAATTTACTTGATGCATTAAACGATTTATTAACAGTTTAAGGCCATTTGCTAGGTCTCAAAAACATTCAATTTATAATAATTGTTGTTTAATAGTATCCAAGAAAATTAATTCAATATGTTTAATATTTAGTTTTAATAAATTTTTTTTCATAAGAAAGTGCATTGTATTAAGTATGTATACACAGTATGTATACATATTGTATTTCAAGGTTAAATTTTTCAATTAAGTTTCTTTTTTAATGAAATCAATTTCATAAGTATTGAATTTAATATATTAAGTTCGTGTATGTTTGTGTATTGTATATCAATGTTGTATCGAATATGTCGACGAAATCAATCATCAATCAATTGAATTTTATAATTGAATTCAATTTGAAATGCCTTTTATTTATTTTTTTTCAGTTTATTCTCAATTTAATATGAAATAATAAATTATAACACGTAGATTTTAAATATTATTCTACACAATTTTATTAAAAGAAATTAGATTTATTTTTAAGCTTTTCAAGACTAGAATCAAAAAAAGGTTATAAATTTTTTTTAAATAAAATAAATTCCTTTAACATTAATCAGTTTTTCAAGCATAAAACCTTAATGTTTTGGTTTGACGCAATATTTTATAAATTTTTTTCAGTTAAAAGAAATATTTCATATATAGCAGATTTATACTGAAAGTGCGATTATTAATTTTTGAAAATAGTGATTTGGAATTAAAATTTTTGAAATGGGAATTAAAATTAAAATTTTTTAATTCAAGTGAAGCACCAAAATCGTTTTTTTCATTCTATTTTTCATTCTTGTACGTTAAGAGAACCATCAATTTGTTGTGCAATGTAAAATATGAAATAATATATAACTGTACATTCATATATCTACCACAAAAAAATAAAATGTAAATAATCTAATTTTATTGTGATTTCGAAAACAGAAAAAAATTTTCTTTGCAAATCTTCAAACAAAGGAAAAACAAATAAAAAATTTCTCTCTTCGAATTAGACTTTACCGTTTTCAAGGTGGGAAGTTGTAATTAAAGAAGTTAATCTAGATTCATACACATAATATCTTTAACGATTTAAAATGTTGAAATTTCAAAATAATATCAAATATTTCCACTTACCTAATACCATTTGGTGATTTTTCTCGAATTATCATAAATATTTTAAAAAATTTAAATGATAAATAAAAATCTCCCACAATTAAGATAAAACAACGCTCACGTTGTATAAATCTGTAATAAAATTTAAAAAATTGATTTATTGAGCTTATTTACGAAATCTAAACAGCCTAGATAATCTTTAAACTTCTAATTTTTTTCACGAATTTTTGAAATTATAACTATAATGAAGAAGAAAAGAAAATGTGCCATATGACAATGCCCGCGTATTAATTAATAATTCAATTTTTTAATTTTAAAAAGACTCCCGATTATATTTTTCATGATTATGTTTGAGTGTTGGAACGCATTTAATTATACCGTGCAACATTTGAAAAAAAATCTTATGTGGCCAGCACTTATATAAATTTTCGTGAAAATCGGTTCAGCCTAAATTGAAATATAGATTTGCATATATAGACAGATAAAACAACAAATAAATGTTTATATATCTCTAATAATGTTTATTTACTCTCCCCTACTATGGAGAAACGCGTTTTAACCGAAAACTCGATTTACATAATTTGGTTTTATAACGTAACTATCCTTATTTTATACAATACGGTCGGTGAAAAATGTCGATCAAATCTATAGTTTGTAGAGCATTTCGTTTTAACAACCTAGATCCAGAATTTGTATTTTATTCAAATTTATGCATAAGTAATGAGCGCAATTATCTATTAAAATTTTTTCTATTTCGAAAATTAATATAAAGCTTAAAATAAAATAGTTGAGGAATGAGGTTATATTTTTGTGTTTCCTTAAAAGTTTACCACTTAGTTTCGGTAACAACCAAAACTCAAATATCAAATGTCAAGTAATTCCATTAATCCGTTCCGTAAATATGGTAAAAAATGTAAAAGCGGTTCCCATTTCGGTTTCCGAGTCTGATCTTTCCAAAAAATTTATAGATTCATTGTTTTAATACCACGAACTTAGATATTAAATTTCAAGGAAATTGGTTGTATATTTCTCTTTATATATGCGAAAATGTTAAAGGGACCCGCAAAACGGTCTGATATATCCCAAAAGTTGATCAATCTGTGTCATAGCCAAAATAGACTCACCTATAAAATTTCATCAAAATTGGTTCAGCCTAACTTGAGATACCGACAGACCGACATCTCTCTAAAGATAGTCAATTTCCCTACTATGGAGAGGTGCGTTCCCACCGAAAACTAAACATCCAAAATTTGGTGCCATCGCATAACCTAGCTATACAATTCGGTACAATTACTTGAAACTAAACAAAATTCGAATATTTCATTTCAAAATAATCATAAAATTATGTTAGATCATTCTATATTAATTATTATAAAATGAAATACATACTAAAAAACCATAAAAAGAAGTTGTCGAACTTGATCTCAAAAATATCGGTATATTTTTTTTTTTGTTTTCCGATTATTTTTTTGTTTTGCAGTAAAAAAAGTATTAAACTCAAATACTTACTTAAACAATATTGAGAATTTGCTGTGCGCGTATTAACTAGATTTATGTAAGATATTATAAATTTGATGCTGGAGGAATCAAATGAATAAATTTGATCAAGGAGGAATAATAAGTGATTTATCATGTGCATAATGTACATTTATTGTTTTATTAGTTCGAAATTCGAAAAATTTATTTGAAAATCGGTCCAATTAGATGTACTATTTCAGATTGCTCATTTTTGTCTGAACTCACAAGAGTTTTGCTTAACTTGGAGTTTTTAGAATTCGTGTGAAATCATAGAGTTAAATATATTCATGTAAATAAATAAAAGTTTTCTAAAATTATCAGCCTAAGTGTGTATCGCTCTTTTCCAATAAGCATACTTACTCATTTTTTTCATTTAGCTTTTTGCTTGAAGTCGTACTTACATTAGTCGCAATATTTAAATGGGCGACCAATTCAGTTTTGGTTTTAGTATTAATCGTAATAATGTCTAAAGCTGTGCAAATATCCCAAAGTTGCTAGATTAACTCTACTTGTACCTGTTTTATTTTTGGAAACTAAAAAAGAAAAAAAAAAATTACAAATTTTCTAAATAAATTGATTATATAAGGAATGAAAATGAATTAATTTTCCATATTTGTTACTCTTTTATAATGAAGACAATTGCTTGATAATAGAAGGCTAAATAAATTAAGACGCCATCTACAAAAATAGATATATAATATTAAAAATATAATTTAAGAGTTGAGGTGTGTTAAATCAGTTGAAATAATTCGATGTTGAAAAAAACTTATTGTTTCAATGTTGTCATTTTTTATTCGTAAATCGTAAACCATTAAAAGAAAAAACCTTTAAGTGTATACATAGATTACCACTCTTACATAATAATAACAAGGCTCTTTAATTAAAGGGTTTTTCTTAGTCAAGCTTAATTGAAGTACTTATAAAATTGTTGGTTAATCTATAAAACAATATAAAATTTAGCCAATTTTATTTGTAATAATATGTCATAACTATTAACACGCATTTTGAACTCTTAATTTGTTTATAAGCAACTAGAAATCAAAGCAGACAAAACAACCTTTGTTGAAGCTTATAGAATTCTCAATTGAAAAAATTTTCTAACGGAATTTCGATTTATCATTAAATTAAGCAACATTATTAATACTACTATTAAATACATCAGCAACTTTAATTACAAAAATTGCACTCATCACTGCTATTTTGACAATCATAACTGAGGAAAGTTATTCTATGGATCGATTTCCCTAATTATTGTAAAAAATTGCATACCTTATATACTATAGACAGTTGTCATTACAAAATAAAAGTTAAATAGTCTTGTTAATATAATATACATTTTTATTTATAATTTTTAAATAGATTTAAAAATTGAACACTTCCTTTTAAAGTCACAATGAAAATTTTAGAGAATGAAAATTTTTTTCGCAGAATGTTAATTTGATCATTAATGTTAAGTAGTAAATTAGTATTATATAAGCACTTTAATGTTTTTTATTGAAAATTTATTCAAGTTCTAGTTCGCAATTTCGCATAACACCAAAAATTAAAAAAAATTATATAAAATGTTAATTTAAAAACAACTGTACAAATAAGCAATTCGTTTAACAGTAGCTCAAAATTAATTGATAAAAATAAAAAAATTTATTTATTTAATTTCTAATATAAATTCTGCATAATTTCTCTAAAATATTTATTCTATTTTCTGGTATTTTTAAAATTTTTGAAAAGGCTAAAAAGATAATTAGAACTTTGCATGTTTTCAAAAAGAAACGCAATTCACAATCAAATGCAAAAAAAGTGTTTAGTTAAATGAAGCCTATTTTATAACGAAATTACTGAACAGAAAAAATTGTTTTGTTTTTTTTTTTATTTAAACCAGTGGTTGCTTCATTTTTCGTTGAATTACCGCTAAATAATGTGCATATGAATTAAGAAAACGAACCAGCTAATTTTATAAAATATTTCACGCTTAAAGACGTTCTACACTGTTAAAATTAAGATCGCAGTTGCAAAATAACTACCCGGAAGACGAAATATCATCCTCAATATTTTATTAAATTAAATAAAACTTACAATACGTGTACATTTAATACTTTTATTAGTAATATTCTTATACAAATTACAATACAAGCAAAAAATTGAAACAATGTTCAAAATACTCGCGCGAATAACTTTTTTTTTTGTTTCATTAAAATATTTCATATATTTTACTCATAAATTCAAATAATTTATTTGATGTTGATTGTTTTTTTCTTTTATTTCGTTTTTCATTATAGAATACATCACCATTATGGGAGGATTTTGTTGCAAAGGCCAGTAAACTTCATGCCTGTTTACGGTAAGTGATTTTTTTTCTTCTGTAAACTGTAAATTTAATGGAAATAAATTTGTTATGAATATAAAAAGAATACTTAAACAGTTAATTTAGTGTAATAGTTCTCAATTGTTTTTAATGATTTTAAGAATAAAATAAAAAGAAATATATAGGTGTTTATGTAAATGAATTCTAAAAATTTTCAATTTAGTTTGATTGTGTAAATAAATTAATTTTAAGTTTACTTCATTAAAATTATGCTGTTTCGTTATAAAATATAACATGCTCGTTAAGTGTACTAAACATGCAATAAATAAGAACAATACTGCAAAAACATATCATTTTGAATTTTTAACTATTCTATAAAATCAAAATAGTTCATACGATTTACTGGTGCTACTCATGTACCTGTGTCGCTATATTTTATAAATTTAGCAATGTTTATTGTCAAACTAGATTAGCAACATTTTTTTATGAAAAATATACGTCACAGTTTTCGCTATATATCGCTATATAAGTTCTGTTTTTATGAAAAGGCCTAATGGCATATTTTTTTAGTTTTTTCACTCACAAGCATTTTTTTTGTAAATTTTATATGAATAATTAAATTGTTAATTTAGTCGTTAAAATTTTTGTTGCTCACCTACGCGTTACCTTGTAAAAAACTATATTTTACAATGTTAAAATGCTCATAACATGACATATGAACTTTTATAATGGTAGGTAAGCAAAGCCCGTACAATGTCAACAGATTTAACGATCACTTTCGAATGTCCATTTCATTTCATACAATATAAAAATACTGGTTTATAGTCTTAAGAAAATTCGTTAAAACGTTAATTTTGTTATTTAGAAAATGATGATTACTTGACATTTAACTACCGTAGTAAAAATAATTTGTAAACCAAGTAAGTTTTCATTTCACTTAAACATTTCAAAAGCGAATAAGTTTTGTTGTTCTTGTTAAATGCTGCAATTGTGGCTTTATGCAGAATATATTCTATTATATTGTTGCTTACAGTAACACATTAACATATTAACCTGGTAATTTCACAGCAAACACACATTGAATAAAATTTGTTATTCATTTTAAATTAATTTCTTTCTTTTTCAAAGCAAACTTAAATTAAATAAAGTTGGCTCAAACCAACGGTTTGTATTGTAGCACTTTCCCCTTCAACATACTGCTGTGAAAATACTGCTTTTAAATACAGTCTATGTATATATACCTACTACACTATTAAAATTATTTTCATTCACATACGAAACTATTTCTAGGATTGCATATATTTAGGATGAGCGATTTATGCAGTCTTTGAAAGAAAGCCAAAATTAATTTAAAGAGGAGAGGTAATTTTAAAATAATTATATTTTTTAATGTCATGGAATTTACCGTTATCTTTTTGCGTGTATAGAAATTTGAAAAAACTTGCGGTTTCGGGAATATTAGGCGCCAAAAATTTTACAAATTTAGAGAGGCGAGAACTTGACAGGGGGTGGAGATGGAAAAAAATTTTCTTCTAACGAAATAAACTATTATTAAAAGCTATGAAAATTTCAGGCTCCAACAACCTGTGGTTTAGAAGAAAAATGACATAAAAAATTTGGAAAAAACAAATTTTTGATTATTTTTTAAAAGTATAACTAATATGCTGTGATAGGAGAAGCAAGCCGCTGCCTTTCTGCGTTTGCAAAATTTTTAAAGATAAAAAATGACATTTTTAAAGTTTTGAGTGGGGGGGGAGGGGCATTTTTAAAGGGGGAAAGATAGGTAAAAATTTTCTTCCACGGAAATAGGTTTCTAGTAAATTATATACGTATTATATACGTATTAAATTTCATATCTATATACGTATTAAATTTCAGCTTTCTATCTTCAAGGGTGTAGAAGTTTTGTAAACATGTCCAGGACGGACAGAGTGAAACTAATAAGCAGTTTTTTTCCAAACTTTTTTGAAAAAGTGCTAAAAACAGCAAATTAAAACAGTAAATGCGTTTCATTTTTAAAAGTGCTGAGGCGAATTTACATAAAATTAATTAGCATTAGTATTTTTTATCAAATTTGACAAGAAATCTTAATGAACTTATAATTTGCGTTTAAAATTTTGTATTTTTGTGATCAGTTTTTAATTCTTTCTTAAACTGCATACTATATGTATATGTATATCTGTTTAATTCATATTATGGAGACGTAAACATAAGTACATTTTATATTTTAAATATATAGGCGCATGTTAGATATATAGATATTTACATTATGTTAAAGTGAGAACGTCTGATTTGATAAGTATTTGTATAGTGTGCGCAATTTTCTATACACATTAACACATAACATCTCGATTTATAAATTTGAAAAAGTCTAAAAACTAAAATTGATATGATAAAATTGTTCTTACACATTTATTTTATACTGAAATTATGCAAATGTCGTAAAAAGATATTGTGATTCCCTCGTATCCAATTTCAAGCACTAGAAATTTTTTTCAACAGTGTTTGACGTTTTATATGGAATCAAAGATGAATTTTTGAGTACGCAAATCGCAAATTATATCTGAAAATTTTCTATTATCATAAGAATTTTAGAACGGAATATCCGCTATAAAACAACAAAAATATGCAACGTTATTTGGTTATGATAAATTACACAAATTTTGAATTCAAAATTTTAATAAGTAATAAAATTTGTAATTATAATATAAAAATAAGAGCAGGGGTTTGTAATTCCGGAACGAAAATTCCAGTTTTCTATATTTTTTCCAGATTTTTCCAGATTGTAAACAAACGAGTGTATCAAAAACATCGAACTGAAATAAAATAAATTAATTTTATTTTGATAATAACAGAATTTTTTTTTCATAATATTTTATTTTTCATTTTATGTTAATAAAGTTAGGTTAAACGAGAAAAAATAGAGTTGACCTTGTCAACTCTGTGATACCCGTTATCCTATGTGCGAATAAATAAGCCATGACTGACTACGGGACAGACAATGACTTTAAGTTGCTATATTACCATATTAATTTATGCAAAATTTCAGTACTGTTTTTTTCAAAATACTGTGTACCAAACTACGATTGAAGTTGTACGGCAGCTACCAGAAAGAGCCAAGAAATTTTAACGAATTTTATCAAGCAAATCGGTCCTACTAATATATTCGCTTGTGTGAAATGTCAATATTACAGCTTTTATAGTTTCTAAGATACAGCCAAATAATTTTGGAAGTTGTATGGCAGGTACCAGAAGGAGCCAAGTAATTTCAACAACTTTTATCAGACATATTGGCCCTACTAATATATTCGTTTGTGCGAAATTTCAATATCACAGCTTTTATAGTTTTAGAGATATAGCCAAATACATTTTGAAGTCGTATGGCAGCTACCCGAACCGGTACCCTAATCATGTCCAATTTAAATAGGGTTCTGGCACTTACTAAATTAAATCATTTGTGAAAATTTGGTGAACTTAGCTCAATTAGTTTTTGAGTTATCGTTGGGACGGACGGACAGACAAAGCTAAATCAATTCAGAATTCGACGCTGATCAAAAACATACACTTGAGTCGATATCTAAGACCGTTATTTCTCAACGTTACAAACGGTAAGGCAAATTTAGTATACCCTTCGAACATACGTTCGTACGGGTATAAAACTTCGAATGTATGAAAGCAATAAACATGAGTTTGAAATTTCATGTACACATGAATATACCTGTACAGTATTAGGTAGTGACATAGAAATAAAGAAATTTATAAAGAAACGAGAAAAAGTAGAGTTGACCTTGTCAACTCTGTGATACCCGTACGAATTTGTTATCCTATGTGCGAATAAATAAGCCATAACTGACTACGGGACAGACAATGACTTTAAGTTGCTATATTACGATATTAATTTATGCAAAATTTCAGTACTGTTTTTTTGAAAATACTGTGTACCAAACTACGATTGAAGTTGTACGGCAGCTACCAGAAAGAGCCAAGAAATTTTAACGAATTTTATCAAGCAAATCGGCCCTACTAATATATTAGCTTGTGTGAAATGTCAATATTACAGCTTTTATAGTTTCTAAGATACAGCCAAATAATTTTTGAAGTTGTATGGCAGGTACCAGAAGGAGCCAAGTAATTTCAACAACTTTTATCAGACATATTGGCCCTACTAATATATTCGTTTGTGTGAAATTTCAATACGATAGCTTTTATAGTTTCTGAGATATAGTCGAATAACTTTTGAAGTTGTATGGCAGGTACCAGAAGGAGCAAAGTAATTTCAATGACTTTTATGAGACATATTGGCCCTACTAATATATTCGTTTCTGTGAAATTTCCATACCATAGCTTTTATAGTTTCTGAGATATAGCCAAATAAATTTTGAAGTTGTATGGCAGCTACCCGAACCGGTACCCCGATCATGTCCAACTTAAATAGGGTTCGATCACTTACTACAATTAATCATTTGTGAAAATTTGATGAGCTTAGCTCGATTAGTTTTTGAGTTACTGTTGGGATGGGCGGACGGAAGGACGGACAGACAAAGCTAAATCAACTCAGAATTCGACGCTGATCACAAACATACACTTGAGTCTATATCTAAGACCGTTATTTCTTAGCGTTACAAACGGTAAGGCAAATTTAGTATACCCTTCGAACATACGTTCGTATGGGTATAAAAAAAGGGTTCCCTGACATCTCATCATACGAGACATTTCATCAGTGTAACATTTCATCATTGTAACATTTCATCATTGTAACATTTCATCATTATAGCAATTCATCATTGCACATTTCATCATTATAGCAATTCATCATTATTGTATTTCATCACCATAACATTTCATCATTGCATAAAGTGCATTTTGCAAACATAAGTACATGTAGGTGTAATTAAGTAATTAACATACTGAGCAATTTTGGCAACATGTTGAAGCAGTTTGCAGTTTTGTTGCATAGTGCAACTAATGGAACAAAAATTTAGGATGTAAAGTAAATTTGTACAGGTAATTAAATTAAAGGACATATTGGTTTCACT